ACAGAGTACGGAAAAGCCATAACAATAGAAGCCATAGCCAATACCCCGCTATGTCTTTCAATAGATTGTTGTGAAGACGAGAGCGTTTCCGTGCTTTCGAGAAGTTGTTCATCTACAGAAAGAATTCCAGCTCGAACTAAAAAATATTTTTAAATTTTAGTCGAGAATTTAAAAAATTCCTTACTCAATCCACTTAGTGTTTCAGCACACGCTTCACGTACTTCAAAACGATCATCAACCAAAAGATCGAGAAGTAACGATCGTATGAGATCAAGAGTTTCATTTTTAGCGCGTAAAATAAAAAGATTTGTAAACACAAATACTTGTAAAAATCTTAGAAGCCTGAAAATTTATAAAATTTAAGGAAAAAGATTAATTAAAAAATAACGTGATTTTGGACTTCCAAGTGCCTTGCTCTTGAATAGTTTGACAAACTTCAAATAGCACATCTATTTGATCATTGGAAATAAAAGATAAACCGATATCTTGCATAACAAACGTAATACAACAAATTCTGAGTTCTTCATTGCTAAAATTAAAAAAAAAAGTTTATATTGAAATCCAAAAAAGATTAAGATAATAGTAACTTTTTTGGAACAAGATGTACATATCAAAGAGGAAAAGTCACTAGCGTAATGTGTAACTAAAGGTAAGAGCTTAATCAACATAAATATCCGAGTACCCTTTAAAGATCCTAATCTCTACTAACGATCTTGCCAAATTAACGAAAAATGCGAATTCACGATTTTTGTATAGAGAATTCCTGTCTTATGAAAATATTAATGATTTTACACAATCAAACCTAAAATGTTTTTTCTGTAAAAACTCACGTTCTGTCATTAGAGTAATGCATCAACAACGGTAAAAGCTTAATTGAAGAAGTATCCAAATATTTTCCTGTCATTGATTGATGAGAAGAAAGGCACGAAATTAATGTTAATAAATGAAGCTTTTCTTCTTTAAATTCATTTGAAGAATGTCTTATCAAATAAACATTATTATTTTGTGGTTGATTAGAATTTAATGCTTCATTCCATAAAGGCTCAATCTTCGTATTAATCTCATCAATAATTCCACTAATTTTTAAATATTTAAATTTCTGATCAATTTCTGGATAATAATACGCATCTTTATTATGAAAAATAGCAGAGGTAGCCAGACAACTATAAAAACTTTTTCTAATTAATATATTTTCGAGACATTATGTGAAGGGCACGAAAATAATTTTAATAAAGGAAGCTTCTCTTTCTTCCTTTTCTAATAAGAGGATCTAATTTAAAAAAATTTTTTAACCTTCCAACACTGTGACGGACATTTTGGAATCGATTATTAGTTAATTTAAGGCAATGATCATGTAAACGTTTCCATTCATAAGGAACGCGCCATTCAAATTCGTATAAGGCAGAATGAAGAAGATAAATTCTTCTAAAAAATTTCTTTTAAAAATAAAAAGAGAATTCCTCACGTTTTAATTTTACTACTAATAGTTGTTGTAGATTTAAGTAACTTGAAAAGTAAATCAAGAAGCCAGCCAACTTGGCGTGGTTCACACGAACGACACTGAAAAATTTTATAAATTATATAAAAAATATGAATTATTAAAACAAAATTATTGACCCAAACTTAAAATTTTTCAAATGTTCCCGGAAAAATCAGAATTTAATTAAAATATTTTTCGGAAAAGCGTTTCCCGAAAAAATCAATTCAAAATTAAACAATTTCCGGAAGAAATATGTACTATAATATCATAAAAATAAAAAACAAACAATAATTCCAATACAAGTTCCCCAATATTGTTCATTTTCCTGAGGTACTTTCAATAAAACTTCCTCCAATTTATCTTTTAAACAATTTAACAATTTTTCTCTTTTTTCAAACTTCCATAGTTTTGAGCCAACAATAATTCCAGCAATTAACTCCGCTGCTAAACGTTGACAACTCACCTTCAAAAGTTAAAGAAATATTACATTAAAAACAATTACAATATTTTATACCTTTTCATCTATAAGTAAAGGATCCAAAATATCAATAAAATCGTCTAACAAAGTATCATTAAAAGTCCGGAAAATCCGCTGAAAACAAAAAAATAAAAACGTTAAAATTGTGATTTATTTTGTATGTATTATTTTCCGAAAAATCATAAAACATCATAGTGAAAAGACTTTCCGAAGTAACCAAAATTCAAAACATTAAAACTCACATAAAACAAAGAAAAATGATTCATATTAAATTCTTTCTAAAAATTAAAATTAAATTTTACATTTTTTTAAATAAAATACCTCGTCTTCCAATAAAACAAGAGTAACAAATTTATTTAAAAATTTTGCTTTTCTGAATATTTTAATTATTTCACGTTCAATTCCAGAAAATTGAGCATATTCGCGGTTTGCCCAGTCTTGTTGTGAGGGTGACGCATACACTTTAAATTCATTTGGCCATGTATAATATCCCCAATGCGGTTTCTATAAAATTAATTTTTTAATATAAATAAAATTGTTTACAGAAAACTAGGATTTAATTAAAACATTTTTTCGAAAATAAAATTTGTACCGATCTGGAAGAAAATCAGATTTTAAAAAAATTATTAGATGTATTTTCCGCAAGACAGAATTTAATAAAAATTACGAAAAGAAATAAAACATTCGGAAAAATCATAGTTGAACAACTTATTATACGTATTTTACGGAAAACTTCAGAAAATACATCAAAATTTATTAAATACCCCAAATTATATGCGTATTTTAAGAAAATTAAAAAATCCTCACGTGGTGAAATTCACACTCATCCCATTCATTTTGAACACTAGGTAATTCATCAGCATTATAAAGAAGAAAACTAAAAAAATAATAATTAAAAAAAAATTTATCAATTCATTTCTTTACCTATTGTCCCTTCTAATTCCGAATTTAATCGGCCATTTAGCGTCAACTCCATTATTTCCCTCTTCATCCAATTCAATATTTTTAACGATTTTATTTGACTTGTGCTTGTTGATTTTAAACCAATGAACACAAAAACTAATTGCTAATTTTCTAGTTCTTGTTAAATCAGATATTAATAATTCAAAGAAATGAAGCACAATTTTATTTGGTAACATAATATCTTGACGTAATAAAAGTCTCAAAAGACTATGAGCAAAAAAAAGTTGTCGGAAATGTAAATTTTTGTCGCAACATATGTTGAACAGATTTTTCGCAATTGAAAGATAAGTACTAAAAATTAAGAATGAGAATTTTTATTTAAAATCAGAAGGAATTATTGAAAATTTTTCAAAGAAATCAGAGTATAAAGTGATCAAATTAACTCTTCCGAATTTAAGCATTTACACAAAATCTCAAAATTTAATTTAAATTTTCTGGAATTTAATAAAAAACCGAAACCTTTCCCTCAAAAATCAGAATATTCAAACCCCTTATAAAATAACCTAAATTAAAAAAACCTTGTATGTTCTGCATTTATTTTTGTTTCCCTTTCTAACGATCCATCAATTTCTTCTCTAGAAACCAACGGTAAAGCTATATGTACACTTCCTTCGTAATCTTCGAGTAAAGCATCAGCAAATTGAAAAACAGTGTTAGGAAACTTAAAAATATTAATATATTACTTAATATATTATTTTTTAAAATAAATCTAAAATTTTTAGCCAAGTTCCCAAAAATGCGGATTCTTAAATTTATCATTAGTCTCAATAAATCCCAAAAATTAAAAAAACAAATAAACCTTAAACTCAATTTGGAAAGAAGTATGATTATTGATAATCAAATCTTGGACAAAATCGAAAAGAGCTACAATTGATTGTTTATTTGGATCTGGCGATTCAGCTAAAGACAAAACTGGCCAAATACTTAACGTTGTTTCTTCATCCTAGATAAAAATAATTTATTTAAAAATGGATTGAAAACTATTGTAAAAAGGAAAGTCACCCGGCAAAGGCTTAACTATGAATTTTGGCTGGCCAATAAAGCATAAATACCCTACTTTTCATTAACTGTACACCCCCCCCCCACCCTCCCCCATTTAAGCTGACGTATAAATGAAGGCATGTGCCGGAGAGTGTGTTTGCTCGATAAATTTTGGTTATATTCAAAATATCACTAGAAATAGTAATCCCTTAGTGATTGCCAGTTCAGGATTCAAACAATAAAATTATTTGAATTTAATAAATTTATGAATTTCTTACTTCTGTTGTAATCATTGAAGTTTCTTTTGCCTTTGAAAGTATGTGTAAAACACCCTAAAATAGTAAATAAATTTTCAAAAAATGAGTTAAAGCAAAAAATTAAAGTAAAAAACAGTGGTTGTGAATAAAAATCAATACTTTAATAAGAAATTTCCTTACTTTAAACTGTGCCGTCGTTTTTGTTTTATCCTCAAGTAATTTGACCAAATTATCGACAAAAAATTTGTAGGAATAAGGCCAAGAATTAAATGAATCATCCAGCAATTTTTGAGCCGTTTGTCTTACAGAAGAATATCTTGATGTTGCAAAACGAAAAGCTAATTGAAGACCTTCCAAATGTGCAATAGTTAAACCTACTAGAGGTTTATGTACTAATCTTTTCTGAAAAATAGTTTTAAAATACATGAAAAAACTATATAAATAGGCAGTTGGGACGCAAAAAATTAAATTAAACTTGACAGGAAAACTTTTAAAAATCAGGACAGCCTATACATCTATCCAAGTAAAATTAATTTTTAATAAAAATTCCAAACCATGTGAAGTAAAAACATTTTTCTTTCCATTATTTGTTCAATAGTGCGTGAGCCCCTCATCGGGTCACTTGTTAATTCTTTTATCATTTTAAATGCTTTCAATTGATTTCTGTAGTTTGTCTAAAATATAGAAATTAAATAACTTAAACATTTTTAAATAATGAGCAGAAAAAATATCTTAAAGCCAAAAAATATGTTCGAGAAAAAGAATTTGATAAGGATCAGAAAAAGAAAAAAATTTTTAATACAGGATTTGTAAGGTAACTATTTGAATACAAAAATAAAATTCAAACCGAATTAGCACCACGTTCATGTGTTAAAGTTCGAATAAGATAAATAATCTTTAAAATTTATAAATTAAAAAAAATTCACAAATTTTTTTAAAAACCTCTGTAGAAGATTTTGTATCGTTTTCTCTTTGATTTAACAACTTTTCCCCAATTTGTTTAACATTGTTGAATAAAAATAGTCTATAATTACTGCCACTAGGTCCGATGATTTCTTAAAAAAATTTAGGTAGGTATATTAACCGATTAATGAGCTTTAAATACAAGACAATAAACAATTATTAACTGTCATAGTTAAGGAAAATTATTAACGCCCATTTTTAATGCCCCATAAAAGGCGAGAAAGAACTGGCCAAACAAGTTCATTCGCCCAATCTCAACACCGACCAAAAGTTGGCCGGTTCTTTCTCCCTGATATTTAATTAGTATATTTGTTGAATAAAAGTTAAAGAGAAAGCTTTCCTTTTACTTGGTGGATCGGCGCGCCCCAAGGGTGGGTTACCACTCTTGGGGCCCAACGCCGACTAACTCCCTGAAAAAGGGGTTAGGATAATAATATGGTGCTCCCAAAATTTTTTTTATCTCCACCTAAAAAATATTCTTATTTCCCCACCTTTATTTAAAAAATTATTTTCTAAAAATACTCCAAAATATTTTATTTAAAAAATTATTCCTTCTTGTCATCAATCAAATTAATTCGGCGAAGAAAAAATTTTTTGTTTATTAAACTAAAAAATTCTTTTTTGGTTATTAAACTAATTTTTTCTTCTTCAACTTCTCGTGATCTTGTGGCCGGAAATAGGCAAATATGAAGGAAAAAAGGAGAAACGCCTAATTTTTGGCCAAAATTATTACAACTTCAAGTTCGGCGAATTGGGTTTTTTTTGGCGAGTCAATCTTTTATTTGGGCGTGATCATGCGCTCAAGTGAAAGAAAAATTCCCATAAATATGAACACAGCGGTCACCAATTTGGATCATTTCAAAGAAGAGCCAACTAAAGAAGAGCCTCAAACAAGGAGCAGTCTACAGCAGTCTACACTAGAAGAGCCGGAATATTGAAAGAAAAATAAACTGAGGGATATCAAATTGAGGAAGCTTTGCAAACAATAGTCAATCAAAGTTTTAATTACTGGCATTTAAAACTTTGATTCGGCTGATCTTTTTTGGCTGATCTGGTTTGCTGAGTTGTGACTTGGCTGATCTAATTCGGGCTGATTGATTTGATTTGGCTGATCCAGATTTTTCTTTTTTGGCGGAGGCCGATCCAGATTTGCTTTTTTGGCGGATAGTTGGCTGATTTTATTTGATTTGGCAGATTTTTGGCTGTTTTTTGGCTGATCTCGATTTGATTTTTGAAGGGAAACCAGTTGATTTCGATTTGATTTGGCTGATTTCTAATTTCATCTGGCGATTATTGGATTAAGGCATTCTGAAATTTGCGGTTGTTGCCGAAGCTGAGGTTGGAAAAAGATAAGAATTTTCGAAGAACTTTGAATAGAAGGAAAGATTTTGGATTTTGTGGAAGGAAGCCGCTTAATCGTCGACCTATAATTCAAAGTTGTGGATCTCAAATTCTTTTGACGAGCCTCTAAATTTTAAACAGTGCCTCGGAATTGAATTTAAAACGTGCACGTAAAATAATTAAAAGGAAAAAATTTTGGTTGATTAAAAAGAATCCCGAATCCCTGCCTAGCAGTTTAGTGGATTAACTCGGCCGGTTATCTACTAAATCCCATAAAAAGGGCAAAAAAGCGCTATATAAATAAAAAGAGAAGAATAAAGAAAGAATAAAAATTTAAGTGTTAGGTAAATTTGGGAAATAAATAAAATTAAAAGAAATCTGAGGGCTGGTTTGAGATTAGAGTTCTCGCAATGAAGGATGAGAAAAAGCCAGAACTTGGAATGAAAGGGAAAAATATCGAAGATAACAGCGGAGGAAGTGTTTTGGGACTTCCTTATCCTAAATCCTATGATGGCTCAGAAGATTTTGTTTGTTATCTGAAGACGTTTAATCGTGTAGCTACGGCTCACGGATGGACTCCACCCAGATGTGCTCAAATTCTTCCGCTTTATTTAACTGGCTCAGCTTTGGCGATATATGAAGGACTGCCAGATAAAGAGAAAAATTCCTGGAAGGTACTTGTTGAGGTTTTAGCCAGCAGATTGAAAAAGACGTCAACGAAAGAGATGGCTCTCGTGAAGCTGGCTGAAAGGAGACAAGAATTTGGAGAATCACTGGAAGAATTTTCCAATGATTTGAAAAATCTGGTGGAACGAGCTTATCCAGATGCGTCCTTTGAATTGAATATTTCAGCACTCAAATTAGATGATGATCAAAAGAAAAATTTGAAAACCGAAATTGAAAAAATGGCCAAAAAATTCAGAGAGGAAATCTGCCTGGAAAAATTTAAATATGGACTGTTGCCGGAAATTAGGGAGAAAATAATCTTTATGAAAGCACCCTCTTCGTTGGCCGAAGCTGTGTCGCAAGCGAGCAGAGTGGAAGAGTTGAATGAAACAATTAAAGATGAAACTAGGAAAAGAATAGAGGAAATAGAGGTCAATGCGGCGCTAGCGGAAGTTAATGAAGTAGGTGAGATAAATGCAGATCCGGATAATGACTGGGGCGAGGAACAGACCGACCCGAATTTTGGCCCATATTATAATAATGGAGATGAATATTATAATGACCAATATTATGACCATGACCAAAATTATGATGACGAGGGATACCAATGGTTGCCAAATGAAAGTAATGAGTATTGGGGAGAGGAAGAGTATCAAGATCAATTTGGCAATGATTGTTGTTTCGATGATCAAGGTGATCAATACTGGCCCACAGATCAATCAAGATTTGATGACTATTGAGGAATTAAAAAAAATTCCTGGTGATGGTTCTAAAACTCAATTTTTGCGCTAGGCTTATTTCGATGCTACCCCCACCCCCCAGGAGAGGAAGAAAAAGCGGATTTTGGCCTTTATTTTAACACAGCCCTGTGACATTTTCTTGGATGAACGCCCTGTTGCTATATATTTTTTTTTTGATTTACACTGAAATCTTCTTACCTCCCTTTTCTATTACTGATCCACTTTAAAAATTTGCTACCGACATTATCCATCCAAGTTAGGGGAATTTGTTGAAGAAAAGCGATGTGTTGGCGTGATTATGTTTGATTGGTAAAAAGAATAGAAGTGAAGAAATTGAGATTAACATTTGCGAGGAATTGAAAAAGAAAGATAAATGAATAATTAAAAAAAAATAAAGATAATATTTTTCACACATTTTCTTGCCATATCCGCTTCTCCTGTTGTATCCCCCACCCCCGCGTATAGAATGTCATAGTTAAGGAAAATTATTAACGCCCATTTTTAATGCCCCATAAAAGGCGAGAAAGAACTGGCCAAACAAGTTCATTCGCCCAATCTCAACACCGACCAAAAGTTGGCCGGTTCTTTCTCCCTGATATTTAATTAGTATATTTGTTGAATAAAAGTTAAAGAGAAAGCTTTCCTTTTACTTGGTGGATCGGCGCGCCCCAAGGGTGGGTTACCACTCTTGGGGCCCAACGCCGACTAACTCCCTGAAAAAGGGGTTAGGATAATAATATTAACACTAAAAAATCGACGACACACAAAGATATACCCAGTAAATGAACACTACCCGTTATGAATTAATTCTAGTATCCTACAAAATATTAAAATCGCAAACTTTTAACATATCGACGAATAGTAACAACGTCCAATTCAACATTCGGAACAGCAGTAGGAATAATACTTAAAGGCATGTCATTCAAGTAAGGCAACAAATGAGAACAAGCCATTAAAGCATGATGTGCAATTGTTAAAATTTTCAAAATTTCTTTGCTGAAAGAGAAAAAATAAATTTAGTAGAAGGGTTTTTAATATTGACGAGGCATCAAAAATTTTAAATAAACATCGAAAATATAAAAAAGATTTTAAATTTCTTCAACCCATTCCTCAACGCAATAAAAGCATTTTTTAAATAAAATTTAAAAGTATACTCTGTTCTGTCTTTAAAGTTGTCCAAAAGTTGCTCTAATGGTGTTGTAATAAATTTAGTAACTAATTCAGAAGCATAATCAACTTCTTCAATTGTTGGAATATGCCAATTTATTTTCCAGTGATCTTTATCTATTGGTTCAGCACAATGCTAAAGATAAAAAATTTTTATATTGGCGAACAAAAATCAAAAAAATATACCCTTAACGGAAGAAATTTATCAAAAGGCTGGTCGTAACGTGTCCTCAAACAATTTGGAATTGGATAGGTTGAACAAAGTGAAGTAACAACATTATGAGCAAAAATAGCTACCAACTACAAAAACATTTTCAAAATTTAATTTTTAAATTAAAAAACCTTATAAATATTTGGAGATGTAAACCTCAATATTCTCTCAATAAACGGATCAATTAAATTTCGATTTTCCTCAATTATATTTCCGGAAGAACTGCGGACAAGTTCAGCAGCAAAATTTAAATACCAAATCAAAGCTCGATCAACTTCCTCTTCTCCAACAGAATCGGCTAAATAATGGAATATTTTTAAAAAATAATTAAAAATAAATAAAAACCGTGATAATGTTCATCAAACTTTCGAACAGCGAAGTTGAAAAAGCGAGGGAACTGAACTTGTGGATCGTTCTGAAAAATGAATTTTCTAATTTTATTCTTTAAAAGCATACTCCAACAAGCATTCCAGCCATTTTTGTTATTGTATCCATAGCTGGTTTTGAATTGAAAAAGTGCTCATCAACAAAGTTGAAAAATTGTTCAGCAATCCGCTGAAAAATATACAAATTGATTTCGAAAAATGTTTATTGTATTCGAAACCCAAGAGACTAAAATTAAAATTAAATTTTCATGATTCTACCAGTTAAGGATTCCCTTATTATAGAATCAAATAAAATTTACATTATAAAAAGTAGAACTGCAATTTCTCACTAACGAACGAAAAGTTATCAGCACTCCATTTTCAATAACCATCTCTTCCATATTCTTTCCAACATTTTTTGTTGATGCCAAGTCGTGTCTGTCACTGACACTATTTCCAAGTAACTCAATCATTGAAAAAATTTTTCTCATCAATTCTTCAATAAATAGTCCAAAAGAAGCAGTTTTTGCGCATAATTGTTCCTCTTCTGGTGATAAATCTCTGCAAACTAATGGAGCTTGAGAACAATCCACTATTGGTATTAACATCATAAAATTTGCCAATACCTAAATAAAAAATGAAGTTATGGACTTATTAATCTTAAAATAAACCCGAAAAATAAGTTGAGTCTTCTCAGTATTGTAAACATCCAATTGTTCAAGTAGATCACCCATTAAATCAATAGCAATCCATCGAGAACCTCTCACTTCAATTTCTTCCTCTTGGTTTGTAAATATATTCATTATTTTATTAAAAATTCTGGTCAAAATCGATTTCTTTTCATATTTTAATTCGTGCCGTGAAATTACTACGCAGATAGGTGAAAGAATTTCCAAGGCTTGAATTAGTCGGTGAGGTTCATTTATAGCTTGAAGAGATGAATAGACTCTAAAAAATAAAATGAGAAATTGAACTTTAAAAATTAAAAAATTTTAAAAACTTACAAATCAAAAACAAAAGGAACAATAATTTCTGGTGAAAGAAATGCCAAAAGCCGAATAATTGCTGGCACAGAATTATCATTTTGTTTAAGAAAAGCAGCATATTCAATACAAGGCAAAATTGATTTGACAAAAGTCTTGATTTGATCATCTTTTATTTTTATATTTTCAGGAATCTAAAAAAAATTGTAAAATTAAACAGAAATGATTTTTTAACTTCATACTTGATTCACGAATTTTTTCTCCTGAAAGCGCTCACGAGAAACCCGGTTCAAAAAGGACAACACCAATTTATGAAGAAAATGTAATAAATTTTTTGTGTGCTGTCCATTATTTGAAGGATGAAAATAGCATTCAAGTGACAGGAACAGCTGAGAAATGTATCCTTGAATTCTGAAAAATGTGAGAATTATTTTGTTAACTTATGTTAAACAAATGACAATTAATCCCAACTATACAAATTTCTCTTACAATTTAACAAAAAACACCTATTAACCCAAAATTATACAAAAAAATACTTGTCTCCATTCATCCCAAATGAATAAGTAAATATGTCTGTAAATGCTGAGAACTCATTTGAACAATTTGTATTCGCAACTAATTTATCAACGCCAATTTCAATTTGAAAAAAAGACATTAAAATCGTGAACAATTGGTGAAAGTAAGGTGAGAAGTCCAAATAGCCAGGACAGTCTTTGGCCAGTCTATAAAAAATAATTAAAATCCACATTTTCAACTTTAGATAATAGAGATCAAGCTGGACCTGGATCAAGACCTGGGTTTTCCTGTATCCAGAGTCCAGGTATTTTTTGACCTTTATAGGTTTTTCCTAAATTACAGGCCCAGGATCCAGTCCAGTTCAAGAAATTAAACTCCAGAGTACAGGAACAGGTCCAGGCTTTTCAAAAATCTCGATCTCTATTAGATAATTAATCCCAAAGATTAAGGAAAACCTCGCAAATAGAAGCAAAATATTTAATTGTTCCGAGGTTTCTGTTTTGTTTAAAAAGTATAACATTTCATCAATCCATAGTTTTGCTCCAAATCTATCATTTTCTTCTTTTGTTAAACAAACTGGGAGGAAGATACACACAAGTTTCATCCTCTTCAAAAAGTGCTCATCCCATAAACAAAAATAAGGTCGGACCTTGAAAAAGATTTATTAAATTAATTTTTAATTCCTTTGAATGCTGAGATTTCGCATTTTCCAACTCGGGAGCAAATTATATTTAAATAAGCAGAGTAAAAAAGGTATTTTTTCTAACACTCCCGCGTTCATAAATATTTAAAAATTTCTTTCAAAATTGATATTACTCAAAAAAAATTTTAAAAAACAATGATTGTCGAAAAGTTTATTGGGACAAAGAATCCTCAAAAATACCCCTAAAAAATAAATTTAAAAAGCAATAACCTCAGCAAGAATTTCCTTAGTAGCTGAATCAGTAAAAAATCTTGTGCACTCAACAATTGTTGTCTCGAGAATTTTTTTTAAGTTGTCAGAGACTGCATCCTAAATAACAAAAAATAATTCAAAGTCAAAATAAACTCAAAAAACCTCATCAAAATTTTTGAAAAACACCCTGACATATAAATCATATAATGGACGCCAATCAAATTGAAGATCACATCGTAAGACCAATGTTTCTTTACTAAAATGTATCGTTTTTGAATGTTTAAAAAGCTCAAAAATCATGATAGTATATTAGCTCTTTTGGTACCAAAATATAAGCCCGTAAGATTTGCCCGAAAAAATAACTCGCATTTTCACTCGATAATGGTTGGGTTATTCAAACTAATAATATTCCTAAGTGTCAGTATTTAAGTGTTTTTTACTCTTATAAAAAAACACGTTAACTTATAATGAATTCTGAGAGGACCTCAAGCGATATCCAAACTCTAGTTAGGAATTTTGAAAAAACCGGGACCGGGTCCGGAAAACGGGTTCTGAAAAAGCATGAATCGGGTCCGGGGAACCGGGAAGACCCGTTCCCGGTTGCTTAAAAACCGGAAAAAGGACCCGGAAACCGGGAAACTGGTCCCGGGCCCGTTCCTAACTAATCCAAACCCCCCAATTAAAAATATTTAAAAAAATATATTTACGACAAAAGCCTTGACATTGACTGGCAAAGAATTTTTACTGCTTTTAACTCCAAATTCTCTATTGTTAAAACATTATAAAAAAGTTCAATAATGTGGACATGATCCACTTTGGAAAATCGAAAGGAATACAGGCTAATGAACCTGTTCAAAAAATGAATTATTCGAAAATATTCTTAATAGGTTCTATTCCAAGTCTATTTGAATTAAAAAGTATAAAAAACTAAAGGGAGGTTAAAAAGGGACGAAGGAACCAAAATTAAATTTATTCAAAACCTTTCTAATTCGCGAATCCAATAAAGTAAGCCAGGTAAATCGCGCATCTTAACTGAGTACCCCAGGCTTGATTTAACTTGTATAAAGTAATTGTTTGCCTCCACCTCTATTTGATAAGGAAGATGTTCCAGCTTCCTCGTTTTTTGAAATTTAACATTTTCTAAAAATAAAGTTGAAAAGAAAAATTGATTAGTTTTGACTGTTTTTAAATTTGAAAGAGGACTCGATTTCCTTTGAGTTCATAATTATACATTTATGGTTTTCAAAGTTAAATACGACAAGGTACGAGCCCCAGCTCATTTTGCAGTTTTAAAAAGTAATTGGAAACCCAAATTAAAAATAAAAGTTTTAACCAGTATCACTATATTCGGATAAACAATCAGAGTCCTCATAATCACTTGCATCTGATTCAACTTCATTTACGGCGTCTTCCATTTTAAAATTTTAAATTGATAGCCTCTAAAAATAAAAAACTTAAAAATCTATAAATTTTTTTCAACACATCCAAGAAATATTTTCCCTTCTGAGAGGTTAAAATCCTATATGAATAAATATTTTGAGCTTTTATAATAACATTTTGGACAAAATATCAACAAAAACAAAACGCCAAAAAAAAACTTTGGAAAAAGGCATTATTCAAACACAATGATATAGTTATAACCAGAGGTTGGTCGGAACAATCAGAAGTGTAGGAAATCGGAAATCAAAATTTTTATTTTTAAAACTGAATTAATACAGGGTGCGGCAAATTCGCGCAACTTTTTGTTTTCATCATAACTTTCTTCATTTTTAACGAAAATCGATAATTCTTTTTTTATTTTAAACCTAACACTTTAGGAAATTTTTTGATACCATTTTATAGCTTTTTATTCGTTGATTCAAACGCGCATATTAACCTCAAATTTAAGCTTGATTTTACTCAAAAATGGAGTATAGTAATGAGCAAAAAGCGTGGACTGTCATCTGGTATGGTATGACAGGATCTCCAAAAGCTGTGCAGATTGAGTATCGTAAAAAATTCGGAAGAAATTCGACAGTCCCAAAAAATCAAACAATATACCAATGGTGGGAAAAGTTTTTCGAAACAAATGATTTGAACAAGAGGAAAAAAACAAGGACGAAATGGGTGCAAACCGATCTTAAAATTGAGGAGGTTTTAGACAGATTTCGAAATGCCCCACATGCAAGTCTCCGAGGTGTAGGAAGGCAAGAAGGTATGCCATCACCAAGAACAATTGGACGCATCTTAAGGGTTTTTAGCTTCCTTTAAGTTTTTAAGGGTATTTCAGGAATCAAAATTCCATCCATACAAAATGCAATGTGTCCAAAAACTTCGTCCCATTGATTATGAAACACGTATTGCATTCGCAACTTCACAATTGGATTTGATAGAGGCCAATCGAACCTTTTTGGACAATCTCATGTTTAGCGACGAATCTCATTTCCACTTACACGGTCATGTTAATCACCAGAATTTCCGCTATTGGTCAGACACTAATCCACATTGGTATAGAGAAGAGCCACTTCACTCGCCAAGAGTTTTGTTTCACTTGTTTCAAGTTCATTTTCGAGTTTAGGTGAGTGTTTGGGCCGCAATAGGTCGTCAAGGAATTGTTGGCCCAGTTTTCTTTTTCAATAATGTGACTGCGGCGTCCTATCTTGAACTTCTTCGAGAACGTCTTCTCCCCGTTGTTCAAACTTGGCCGGGATTCGCCAATATCATCTTTATGCAAGACGAAGCCCCTCCACATCACCAAGCGCAGGTACTCATTCTTATCAGCCATTGTGTTATTAATGATTCAGGTACACGAATGGCTGAATGAGAACTTTCCTCTTAGATGGATGGGGCGAAGTTCTGCAAATTTTGTAGCCCCATTTTCCTGGCCACCCTATTCGCCTGATCTCACCCCGTGTGACTTCTTTCTGTGGGGGTGGGTCAAGAGCCAAATTTATCGGACACCGTCGGCCGACCTTGATGAGCTACAAGCACGCACTCAGCTTGCGTTTAACGAATTGCCCCAAGAAATCATCAATAGCGCCATTAGTACCTATGAAAATCGCCTTGAGAAATGCATAGAAAATAATGGAAAAAGTGTAGAACTTAGATAGGAAATTTTATACCATTATTGTTATTATTTATGATTGTATTTGTTATCAATAAATTTCCTAAAGTGTTAGGTTTAAAATAAAAAAAGAATTATCGATTTTCGTTAAAAATGAAGAAAGTTATGATGAAAACAAAAAGTTGCGCGAATTTGCCGCACCCTGTATTTAAAATTGTAAAGTGGCAAATGGGGGTGCCTTCTTAAGAGTAATTTGAGGGAGTAAACCGGGATCGGAGTGAGGATATCAGGGGATATTGAACTTTCGAAGGCCAAACAGCCAGAATCCTTCCTTTTCTAGCGCCGCAGGCGAAAATATTGAGAATTTTGGAAGGCCATGAGGCCAGAATTCTTCCAATTCCAGCAGTGAAGATAATATCAGCCTTAATATCAGAGGAATATCGGTGGATTAATCACCAAGCCCCTTGATAAAATTCCACCATATCCTAATATCCCTCCACATTACCTCAATTAAATCCTCTAGATTTCTCCCATTTTCAGCGACGCAGGCGAAAATTTTGATAATTTTGGAAAAATCTTCAGTCGGAAATATACTTTGAAAACTATCGGAAATCGTAAGGAAAAAAACGTCGGAAATTGGAAATCGGAATTCCGAACCACCTCGCTTATAACCAGCTTTGTTCAGAAAAACTATTTAAAACCAACACTTCTACTTTCAGGAAGGAATATCTGTAAAGATAGTTGACTATATTTAAAATATTTCCGGATGTGTCGAGACAAAACACCGTTCGACTAAACGCGATCCACACACTAGAGTAAAAATGGCAGTAAAAAAGTTTAAAACTAAAAAAGCTCTCTCTAATGCTCTAATGCCCGTACTATAAGAACGAGAAGTAAATTCGGTAATATAAAAATCTGTTATCTACACAATCATTTAACACTTACAGAGCGGTAATTTAGAAAGGTTTAGCTATTTTTCTTCTTGCTTACCACGAAGCAAGTTCCTATATAGCAGCTCAAAATAAACGAAGCTTGTTAAACGAAGCTTGTTACTACATGTTACAAGTAGAGCCCGGACGGAGGGCTCGGTCGATATTTTTTCGATAAATATCGAAAAATACCGAATACCGAAAAATATCGAAAAAACCAAAATTTTCTCGGTCGATATTTTTTCGATAAATATCGAAAAATATCGAAATCGAAAAATATCGAAAAAAAAGTCTCGATATTTTTCGATTTTTTAAAAATTTTTCTATAACCAATGAATAACAGAATAGACCTAATAGTTTAATAAGATTAAGATTGATTAAATAGGATATTGGTGGATTTGGACGGATTAAATGTAATATCAATGGACTTGTATTTGATATCGAAGGATCAAGTGGGATATAAGTGGATTTTAACTAAGAATAATGAATTAAGGGTGAATTGAAGTACTGGGTGTGTATGGAGAGATTTAGTGGTATTAAGACTGTATTATGGATTTGTGAGATCAGACTGGATATGAAGTGATTTGTGGATTAAGAGGGATATCGGCGGATAAAGAGATATCAGAGGATAAAAATCTTGGCATTTGATATCCGTTTTGATATTCATCTCTTTCAAAGGTCCGTCTTGATCCCTCGAGATTCATTTTAACCACTTAATCCTCTAAAGTTATACAAATAGTCGATTACCCCGGATATCCACAATTTCCGTCATGATCCTTGAATATCTCAAATATCCCACCAAATCTTCGGATATCCCATCAAGTTACTCTTAACCCACTGAAATTTCCCTTAATCTACCGAAATCTTTCCTAATTCATATCAGTGTTATCTACCATATATTATCTCTCACTATCATCTCACTTTGGCAAACTAAATCGTGAATATAGAAGAAACCTTTCTTTTTATCTTGCGCCGCAGGCGAAATTTTTTTGAATTTCCATTGGACAAGAAGCAAAAATGCATCCTTTTTAGCACCAAAAATTCAAATTTTTGTCAAAAATGACGTTCGATATTTTTTTCGATTTTTTATTATTTGGTCGGTCGATTGTTTCGATTTTTAAATTTTGTCGGTCGATATTTTTCGATAAATATCGAAAAAATATCGAATACCGAAAAATATCGAAAAAGTCAAAATTTTGTCGGTCGATATTTTTTCGATAATATCGAAAAAAAATATCGAAAAATATCGATAATTATCGATGAAAAATCGTATCGAGCCGGGCTCTAGTTACAAGTCATGGGGGGGAGGGGGTAGTATCAGTCCAAAGTAATTTCCACGACTTGAGTGTGGTAACATTCGAATTTAGAACCGGCTACGTGCTAAAGTAAACCTACACGCGTTTAATACAGAATTGATGGTTATAAAGCGAAATGCGTTTAAAAATAATTTTTAGGAGAAAAAGAATCAGTTTTTTGAGATAAAGATTTTCGAAGTTGCCACATCAAAAATGTCCATTTTCTTATAAAAATGGCAAATGTAATAATAGCGAAAGGATATAGAGAAAAATAGGCTCATTTAAATGGCTACAAGTAACAGGTTAAAAAGAATTTTTAAGGAAAAAAGAATCTGCCAGCTAAAGTAAAAAAAGCGAACACTTAAATGTTTTCTGTTCTTACAGCACCGATTAAAATGGAAAATAAAGTTCGAAAAAAGGCGGAGTTTATTTTATTTGGGCTGAAAAAATAAGGATGTCGTCTGACTG